CCCCACAGTTTGGGAACCTCTGCTCTAAGGCATTTATCAGATGATGTTGTCATCTGACAAAGGGTATCATTCTGTAGCAGCCTGCATGTCTTGGCTGACAACAAATGTTAATTTTAAATAGTTTCCCGTTTAAAATAGGTGATTCTAATATTTTGAGTCTTCATTCACTCTTTTATTGTTTTATTTATGCAATTTCTACATATGTCTTCTTTTTATTGTTGTATTTTCTGTTTGTTTCTCTCTTTCCGCTCCGCTTGTATGTCTCAGACATCATCAACACCCCCAAGCCAGATGAGAGAGCCATCATGACCTACGTGTCCTGCTTTTACCATGCTTTTGCTGGAGCCGAGCAGGTATCGTTTGGGAATCCGTCCCGTTACCAAACTTTTTTATTTCATCCCCGCAAAGGCTTTCCAAGCACACGGCCGGGTGCAGAAATAAGCTGTCAGTTAGATTTGGACGTGGGCTGCTGATCAGCCAAAAAGCCATGAGCAAAATGGTTTTTTTCTGTATTTATAATGATATATCGATGGGGGACAAGTCCTGCTGCTTCACTCTGCAGATTTAAATACGTTATTGTCATGCTCTGCTTCCGCAGGCGGAGACGGCGGCCAACAGGATCTGCAAGGTGCTTGGTGTTAACCAAGAGAACGAGAAACTGATGGAGGAGTATGAGAGACTGGCCAGTGAGGTAAAGTTTCTTGTCTTTTTTTTGGGGGGGATCCATAAAAGTAGCTCGAACGAAAAAAAAAAGACATCTCAGTTCTTTCTACATTCTCTTCCATCATACTGAGGCCCCCTGGAGAAGAAATAAATTATTCATCAGAGTTTTTCTCAACAAGAAGCTTTTCTGGCCTCCAAGCTAGCTACATTTTGTCTCTGCATGCCCCAGCTGCTGGAGTGGATCCGTCGCACCACTCCCTGGCTGGAGAACCGGACCCCGGAAAAAACCATGGCAGAGATGCAGCGGAAGCTGGAGGACTTCCGGGACTACAGACGCCAACACAAACCCCCGAAAGTTCAGGAGAAATGCCAGCTGGAGATTAACTTTAACACCCTACAGACCAAGCTACGCATCAGCAACCGTCCTGCTTTTATGCCCTCTGAAGGGAAGATGGTTTCTGTAAGTCGTAAGCTTCTTTTCTCCTCATTATTATTGGAAAATAAGTTTGTTTTTTTTTGTATTTGGGAAATGAAGTATGCAGAGTACCAAGCAAGAGTGATTTGAACACTTGTCTACAACAATTATAAAAAGAAAAAAAAATCAATGATACACTTTTAATGTGTCCTCAGGATATAACCAGTGCCTGGCAGGGCCTGGAGCAGGCGGAGAAAGGCTTCGAAGAGTGGCTTCTGACTGAAATCCGCAGACTCGAGAGGCTGGATCACCTGGCTGAGAAATTTCGTCAAAAAGCCACCAACCATGAGAACTGGGCCAGTGGTTAGTTCTACTTAGTTTTTTTTTTTTCCAAACTGGGTTTCAGCTTGGTATTTGATATTTCTTTGAAATGTTCATGCAACACTTGAAAAAAAAAAAAAAAAATGAAATATTGAGTCAAAGTTATGTTGCTTTAAGACTAATTTCTGCAAATGTAGCACAAATCTGTACAATTTACCAACAGAAGATTTCTCTCTTTAAAACCATTAAAACTAATTATGGAAATCGGTCTACATTTGAAAGATCCCCCTGCAAAGCTTTACGATTTGCCCAAGTGAATGTGCAGCAGGTACATGCAAACCTGGGAAATTGCTAAAAAGAAACATCCAGGCAGAAAAGTGAATAAAACCTCCAAACATCATGCACTGCAAAAAAAAAAAAGAAAGAAAAAAAGAAAATGAACAGTGAACACATAAATGTTTGTAAGAGAACTGAAGGAAACTGGATTTGCGTACAAAAAAAAGGTGAGCCATTAACACCTGAACAGCAGAGAACAAGGTTCAGATCACGCTCTCATTTTAGATGTTTTAGGCTTCTTGTTTATGTCAAACACCTTCACTTATTGGCTTCCTCAGGTAAAGAGCTGATCCTCATCCAGAAGGACTACGAGACGGCCACCTTGACAGAAGTCCGAGCGTTGCTTCGAAAACATGAGGCCTTCGAGAGCGATCTGGCAGCCCACCAGGACAGAGTGGAGCAGATTGCTGCCATTGCACAGGAACTGAAGTATGTGGTCCTCGTACCAGATGCTTGCACTCATCTGTCACTCTGAATCAGAGAGAGGAAAATACTAGCAAACGGATGAAGGTTCTGCCTTGTAAATATTATATAAATTACAATTTGACAACAGTCTACATTTAGTCTGTAGGGTTCAAATGAGGAATAACAATTAACTGATTATTGCAAAGTCCTTCTGCAACTCTACATTTAAAATGTTTGTGAGTTAATCATTTTTAAATCGCGAGCCATGTTCATTTTTTAAGCTCAGCAACATTATATAAAAATAAAAAAAATCAAGCGACCAGATTTAAAAAAAATCCATCAAAATCAAAATGAGCTTGGAATTTAAAAATAATAATAATAATGATAAAAAAGCAAACATGAAAACAATCATCAATAAGCACAATAAAACATTCAATCAAGAAAAGAATATGCAAAAAAATCTGAAGTATCATTTCAAATGTACAAATAGTTAGATAAACAGGTTTATACAACACAATTAGTTAATTTTAAGTAAAAGTAAGACTAAAATTAAATGTATTTGCTTTTTGAAAAATCTACATTTTGAGCCACCCACATGAAAACTGCTATGAAAGCGATCGTTGTATTTTGTGCTTCAGTTTTAACTCTTAACTTGTCAGACAATAAACTTACAACAGATTCTTTCACCACTTTTTAAATTTTAAACTAATTGTTATTGATGCTGTTCCTACAACATATTTTGTCACTGAATTTTAAACGAGCAGCAGGAAGGAAAAGCTTTTCTTAGAGCCTGTCGGGACTTCAATCAGCAGTGAATGGCAGGCACCTGTGTGTGGTTAAGCTCTCAGTCTGAAGTTGGCTACCGAGTGTTTCTGGTGATTATTTAAGTGGAGTTCAGACAAAGGCAAGAGAAGATTCAGCTGACAAGCTAAATGGCCTCCTGGGTTTGTACAAGGTATGTGGACTGGTTTGATGGCAATTTTTCTTTTTCTTCAAGTCATAGTTTCTATGTTCTTTTAAGATTTTGACAGTGCATTTTGCTTTTTCTAGCCAGTTGTTCCTGGTTGTTCTGTTCAGCTGGAGTGTCAACACTGTTCCTGTTCAAAATGGTGGGTTTTGTAACTTATTTCTCTCCACAATTTCTTTTCCTTTTATTGTATACTAACTTATTTTCTCTGAACAGACTGGGGACAGTCTCCTGGGAGAACTGGGAAGGTGAATCCTGGACTCCAAAATGCTAAGACTGAAGGATCCCATCCAATGTCTTCTAATCCAGCTGGTACTTCTGTATCCTGGGTGGTTGCTAGACCCCAACGCAAAAGCTCACTTGTGCGACCCTCCACTCAAATACGACCTGCGGCCTCTCTAGTGCCTAACCCTCCCAAACTCCTTCCTCCTCTGAAGCCAGAAGGACCTGCTAGTATATGGTCAACTGAAGCACCGCAGGAGCTTCCCCTCCTGGCTTCTGATCCTGAAGGCCCTGTGGCATTGCTGCCAGCTGCATCTCTGACAGAGCTTTTGCAACATCCAAAACTACAAAATCCTTTTGATACTCTAGAACTCACTCCTTCTCCCCCTCAAAACCCTAAAGAGTCTGCAGTCTCAATTGTTGACCCTCCTGAAAGTCTTCCTTTGCCACCTTCAAATCCAGAAGATCCTGACATCTCATGGCTGGTTGAGCCTGCAAAGGAACTTCCTTTTCCTTCCAATCCTGAAATGCCTCTGATCCCCTGGAAAGTTGGCCATCCTAAAAATTTCCCCCCTCCAGTTCTAAAGGGGTCTACAACTAACTGGTTGGCTGACCGTGTGATAAAGGCTCAAACCCTCCCTAATGCCAAAGGCTCTGATACTCCAACAAAAGTAGTTGCTCATCCACCAACCGTGGAGGGTGCTGCTGCAAGATGGGTGGTTCAGCCACCCAAAAGGAACTTGCTTCTTCCAATTCCAGAAAGTGCTGATCCTTCGGGGTTGACCACTGATGAGCATGAAAGCGACCCATTCAGGGCTGCTGTTGCGCAACTTGGTGAACTGCCTCTTGAACCCTTTGCCTCTTATCGTCCTCTTGCACCTGACCTCAACCTTCCACCTGTTGCCTCAGAAGACCCTTCTCCTTTGAAAGGAGGCCCAGAACAAGAAGTATTGGATGGTGAAACCGAGCCTCTTGCATATCAAGAATCCTCTTATCAGGGTGGCGAGTTAAGCCGCTACGCCCCCCTCTACGAACATGGGGACTCGGAGCATGAAACGGAAGACTACGTCGTTCCAGTGTACCCTTACGGTGCAGGATGGATGCCAATTGGAGTTATGCCACCACGGCTATACCTGAGCCAGGTTGTTCCGAATATGTTTTACTTGTGCTTGACGGAGCAGCTTCCTCATGGTACTGTGTCACACATTCAGACAAACTACGAGGCTGGCAGAGACCATGCAACTCAAGTTGGCTATGAAAAATACCCCTTCCCTGCAGGGCCCTGGTATCGACAGCCAAGCTAAGGTTTCTAGCTAGCAGTTGTAGGCTTACAGAAAAGCTGACTATCGAGTCCAGAATTGGATGATTGAGGGTTAAAGGCAGCTACAGGAATTTCTGCAGTTTACACCCATGGTCTTGACTTGATGTGGTTTAAAACTTGTAATAAAGGGTAAAAAAAAAGCAACTTTTGAATGTTTGTGTGATTCTTTAAGTGCTTCAATGTTGCCTAAAAGAGTTTAAGTCCACTTAAGAACTGTAAATTTGGATCCAATATTTATAATGGCTCCTGTTAAGAGGGAATATCTGGACATTTCATGTGAACTAAAGATCAGACATTAAGTCCAACTTGTTTTGGGTACTTCTAAGTGATTCTGGCCATGAAACTTTTTTTTTTTTTTCTTAATGCATTTTAGTGAGCTGGATTACCATGACATTGCCTCTGTAAACCTCCGTTGCCAAAGCATCTGTGACTTGTGGGATAAACTGGGAACCCTGACTCAGAAGAGGAGAGAAGCACTTGAGGTGAGACAAAACCGATCCTTACTTGTGGTGGTGAGATGTAATTTAAGGCTCATCATTCCTGAGAACATGCCAACTCTCCACCAGAGGGTGCTGATGCTTAAGAAACACACTTGCACATCTATGTAGAACCTGCTTGGGGTTCTAATGACCTGAAGAGTGTGACGTCAAAATTTCAGCTATAAAGTAGATTAAAAAATGAGGACAAATGTATTTCTACTGAAAATGTGGCTCATGTCTCTCTAGTCACTTCCTCCGATCCAAGCTGGTCATTCCAGACCTGTAAATGTGTGAAGGCCCGGGAGAAGTGCCAAGGATTAGATCTGAATGACAGTGACAGGGGTCGTTTTTCTGTCCAAGCCCCTGCTCCACATCATATTCATGCCTGTGGGGAAGAGGCTTCGTCACTAACGACCGAGCCAGAGTTCAGTGGGTGGTGGGGATTAGCGTGGCCAAAATGGCACAAGACTCACTCGCCCTCTCCTCCCACCTTCTGCTTCGAGCAAAACCGGTGAGAGGATGTTTGGAGGCTCACAGAGGAGGTGCCTTCCTCTGTGAGCTTGTTCAAATTGTCACGTTACAAATACAAACTTGTGGAAGTCATTGGGCTCTACTTGGCGCATCAACTATAAAATAGTGCTATGTTTATTGAGAATTTTCCATTCCTTATATATATATATATATATTTTACAGTTTGCCACGCTTTTTAGATGCACCTTTTGCTACAATTATGTCTGGAAGTCTTTTGCTTCTGCTCAAATTATTTTGAAAGTTATTTACAAAATGTAAAATAGTTTAGGGTAGTTTGGATAGAGATCATCAGTGAATACCAAGTTTAAAGTCCTGCTACAGATTCTCAACTGGAGTTAGATCTCATCTTTAGCGCTTCATTGTAATTAATGTAACTGTAGTCGTCTTATTTAGAGATATGAGTACAGATGGCTAAATAAAAAATGCCTGTTCGACTTTTATTTTAAATATCTACACTACATAGTAAAGTTCTTGTCCTTTAAAACCATACAGATCCTTGTGTCTACAACATAAATCCCCTAAAATGTGTCGTAGTTGTTTTAATGTGAAAAATATAGCAAGAAATTCCAGTTGTATATGTATTTTTGACCTGTGTAGCATTCCATATGCCATGTTTTGATTCTGAAAATATGTCTTGTAATCCTCTCTCAGCGTGCAGAGAAGTTGCTGGAAACTATTGACCAGTTGTTCCTGGAGTTTGCAAAGAGGTCAGCTCCCTTCAACAACTGGATGGAAGGAGCCATGGAGGATCTGCAGGACATGTTCATAGTTCACACCATTGAGGAGGTCCAGGTAGGACTACGGCACTCCCCACGTTTGTGTGGCGCTCTCATTGATAAAGTACCAAGCGAGACCAACATGAGTATATCTTCTCCAGAGTCTAATTGCTGCTCATGAGCAGTTCAAAGCCACTATGCCCGAGGCAGACGCAGAGAGACAAGCCATTTTAGGAATCCACAATGAGGTGCAAAAAATTTCCCAAAGCTACGGGATTAAGGCCAACATTATCAACCCTTACAGCACCATAACGACAGAGGAGCTTCTTAATAAGTGGGAGAAGGTAAGTTCAGTTTTAAAACCCGCACATGCGTGCATTATCTTCAATTGTTGGCATTCAGTTGGTGGCTATTTCCCTGTTTGAAAGGATTGATTATGAGAAGAGGTGCATACTATCGGTGCTTAAATGCAGTAATTAGGTGATGAAATCCATTTGTAAGGGTATAATGTGTAAATTCATAAAGATTCATATTAATCTCTTTTTAGGGGGAAATTTCTGAGCTTTTACCATTAGTAAATAGCCTCTGTATGTTTCACAGGTAAAGAAGCTGGTTCCTCAGAGAGATGGTTCCCTCCAGGAAGAGATGGCACGCCAGCATGCCCACGAAAGGCTGAGACGTCAATTTGCTGCCCAGGCCAACCTGATTGGACCCTGGATTCAGGCCAGGATGGAGGTTACCAAAGCTATAATATAAAATATTCTTTTTTTTTTCTTTTTTTTTAAATGCCATACCAAGGTTCTTCTAGGATTTTAGCTGATAATTAAATAATTTAATTAACCGCTCTTTTTTTTTTTTTTTTTTACATGATGCCTACAAAAATGTATCAGTTCCTTCATACGCTGACAGATTTTTCTGTTAGTGGCTTGTGGCATCTTTGAGAAAACTGCCTGAATTTAAAATTAAATTGCCCCTGTTGCACCCCATGTTTTCTTTTGTGATTTTTATTTTTCTGGATAGGAAATTGGGCGCTGCTCTCTGGAGATTGGAGGCACCCTGGAGGACCAGATGACCCAGCTGAAGCAAATGGAGCACGTGATCATTGCATACAAGCCCAACATTGACAAGTTGGAAGGAGACCACCAGCTAATCCAAGAGTCGCTCGTTTTTGACAACAAACACACCAATTACACCATGGAGGTACAGGACGGGGCGGATTAGTTCTGAATATACGTATGAACATGAGTAGGATGCTTTATTGCATATGCTAAAATTTATTTTTGAACATATGTGTGCGTGTAGGTGCTTTGTTAAAAGTGTCATTACTGTTGAAAGCTTTTCATAATTTTTCACTACAACCACAAACCTCACTATTTTTATAAGGCTTTTTTTTTTTTTTTTAGGGTTGGCCGATTCAAATTAATACTTATAGTAATTGTGAAATAGAAGAAAAATTATACAAGATTTTCAAAATTTGTTTGAAATCTGAAAAATGTGACATACGTTTCTATTAATCAGTTCTGATTTGGGGTATGTTTAACCAGTTTTGCACATCTAGGCAAACTTTTTTTCCTCTCTTTATTCCTTGCTAAAGAGCTCAAGCTCAGTCATATTGCTTTGATTAAAAGTATCCGAACACGAGCTTTCAAAACTGTGCATGTTCCAACACATGGACATGCTTTAATCCAAACCATTCTGTCGCTGACCTGGCTGTATGTTTAGGTTTGCTGTCCTACAGGAAGTTGCATTTCTGGCCTATTGCTAAATATTTTTTCCAACCCTTTTGGATTTTTCCATCACCTCTGAGCAGTTTCTATGTCTCTGCAGAAGAACAGCATGGTGCTGTCTTTGCTCGTGATGTTTCTGGGACTGTCGATTTCCCTTTCTCTTGACCAACTTTAATCAACTGCTTCCACATGTTTGCAGTGACCCCTAGATGGTGGCAAACTAGATTTCCTGCCGCAGTGACTTTCTACTTGCCACAATATGTGGAGTACAGGACTTATAAATGTCCTGTCAACATACTCTCTCATGTGAGCTGCGGATCTCTGCAGCTCCATCATAATTACCGTGGGACTCTTGTTTGGCCTCTAGTTTTTGAATCCTGCCATTGGGTCTTTCTGCATTGAGTTTTCCTATTTATTTGTGGGCTCTTTTCAAGTGCTCTGGCTTCCTAGCACA